GTAAATGCTCTGTTTATAATAAACAGTATTAAATAACATTTACCGACCGGTAAATGTTATTTAATACTGTTTATTATAAATGTTATTTAATACTGTTTATTATAAACAGAGCATTTACTTAAATACTTGTATCTATAAAAAAGAACGTTAAACATAAAAATGTCTTTAATAAATAAATTGTCGGACTTTGTCCATTTCTTAGTATATATATATATATATATATATATATATATATATATACCCACGCAAAAATTTCAGTATATTGAAGACTGTGTACCGTCACGTAGCTATCGTTATTTGGGAGAAGGGAGGAGCTATCGAGATGGATCTAAATTTTTGGCGCTTCTGTCTACAATCACTAATTACAGAAATCGTTTAGTTTCTTTTTGTTTACTGAATTTAATCCGATTACTTTTCTTTCATTTGCATTGTTTGTTTAATTATCTGCCTGCTTTTTGTTTTGTTTGTTGCTGTTGTTATCATTCCCCGGTTCAGTCCATGAGTGCGAACTTCTCGTTTAGTCTTCTCCACTCTTCTCGTTTTTACGAGATCGTCAGACAATGCGGCGCCTCGCTCTCTCAGCGGAAGCTCTTGTCTCGTCGTTATCGATTTTGATCCTCTGCTCGCTTCTGTCGGGTCGACGAGACCAAAATTTTATTTGATTTATATAATTTTCTTTTACATTCTTTTTTTTTTTTCCATTTCTTTTTCCTTTCTTTTTTTTTTTTTTTTTTAAATCTCATCAAAGATTTCACTTAGCTTTCATGTTTTGCGAAATCGGATCAAATGATTGGACTGCCACCACCTCATAGCAGAAGATCAAACGATTGTTGTCTTTTTATTTCCCGCTTTTTTTTTCATCCCTGTCATACACAGAAGTTTTGAGTTAAAGCACTTCTCTGACTTGAATGGTGTTCAGTTGTGACTCTTATTATTGTTATTGCAAACATTATTATTATTACGCGACACCATGCACGATAATTCTAAAAGGCTATGTCCCTGCAGGACTCAGGCGATCATAACTCCCCACAGCAACTTTATTATTATCTGTTAATTTAGGTACCTTCATGACATCGCTAAAAAAAGAGCATAGCATGATGAAAAAGCCGCCAAACTTGACGAAAACAAAACTTTAGCGTCTAAATGTTTATGTTATTATTAAGAGGAAAGAACAAAGTATTTTTTAATTATCTAAAAAAAAAAAATTCCCTCTTTTTCGAACATTTCAAATTTTGATTAAAAAAAACCTTGTTTCTCTTCGTGTCCAGCGGAACTACGAAGTAACATATAAAATTTTATCGCGTTCTTTTTTTTCCTGTATGACAGACATTAATTTTGAAAATCTTGCAAAAATAAAAATAATTGTCGGATTTTAATGAAACTTTCAGAAACTATTCACAAATGAAGGAACTTATTATAAATATGCTTTCTTTTTTTTAAAGTCATGGCAAAAATATTGTTTTGATATGTATTACCTCCTCCCATAACTAATTGTACGAAAACTCTATAATTTCAATTTTGGACCACTTCTAACTGAAAATCATCTCTGAATTGTTACATACAAAACTCAATAAAACAAAAATATTATTTAATTTCAAAAGCTTTTAATTGCTTTAATTTATTTTAATGAACATGGACAATATTGTCTGAAAGCAAAAAGATATTTCGATGAAAAATGAATTTTTAAAGCAATTATTTGTTATTTCTGAAATATTTTATCATTTTTACATTAAATGTTGTTAATTCTTCTAAAATTAGGGAAAAGTTTGTACAATTTAACGAATATTATTAAGTAGATATATATTTACAGATTATAATTTTCAAAGCTTCTTACAAACTAACGTACACAAGTATATGAAAAAAAATAATTTGTGTCAATAATACAACTGCAAATCAAATCTACGGAAGACCGGAAGTATCATGCGTGCAATAAAAAAAAAAAAAAAAAAAACGTCACGTGGATTGAGTTTCTATCTTGTATTTAACTTAAATACTGAATTTTTAATACAATTATTTGTATTTTTTTTTTTAATTATAATAGATTTTTACATTTAAGTTGTTAAAATATTATAAAATTAGTTAAAAGCCGCATTCAGTTTCGTAAATGTCCTTTTGAAATAGATTTATTTTTGCGAAACACGTGTGGAGAAGTTAATTTGAATTTTCAATTTCAACTGAGAAGGGTACCTACAAGTATCAGTATCATCTTATGAAATTTAAATTTGTATTTTATGTACACTTCTGATAAAATTTCATAAGAAAGACCTATAAATTAAATAGATATCTTTCTTATGAAATTTAATCTCACTCTCAACAGTCTTATTTTAATTTCTTTATAGTATATTTTCCATAAAGCATCGTAAACGTAAAGGTGAAAGCTAAGTACAAAAAAAAAATTTAGAGCGCTGAAAGTTTACTTTAAAAATAACGAGGAAAATAATTTGTTCACTTAAATCTAAATAATTTCACTTCTCTCCTTCCGTAGAATAAATTATCCTCACTTAAGCTATGAATACGTCATGAACATGTCTTTCGTCACCTGTCAAGTGACGCGAAATGTTATGACCTGCTTTGTTTTATTTTCGAACTACATCTTTTCGGCGCAGAAACTGCTTGTTTCAAAATATTTTAAACAAACATTATAATTTCTGATTTTCTTAAAATAAGTTTTGAAAAAATTATAATTGATTTTTAAAAGATTTTCAAAATGAGATTTTCATTTTTTTATAAAATGGAAAAATGGTTGACATGATTGATTATCCGTCAATTTTGCTGACTAAAAAAAACAAGATTTTTAACAAAAAATTTGGAACGTGATAGGAACGATTAAAAAATGTAAATAAATACTTCCAAAATACTTTGATCTTTCCTCTTAATAATACCATAAACATTTACACGATAAAGTTTTGTTTTCGTCAAGTTTGGCGCCTTTTTCATCATGCTATGTTCTTTTTTTAGTGATCTCACGAAGGACCATATGTTAATAGTTACCATAGAACTTGTGGTTCTCTCTTTTTATATGCCGTGTATGCTCAGGACGTTGACGATCACCGACCTCGACAATTTCCTGTTCTTTGTCGTTCTTAATAAACTTTGTCTTTTCGTTAACCCTAACACGGTTCCACCATCCATTTACTTCGGTTCGCCAAGTATATTATACGCTGTTTCCTCTGTTCCTCTTGCCCTCAATCTGTCCTGAGAATATCAGATTTTCCAAACCTTCTTTCCTCATTATGTACCCGAAAAATTCAACTGTCTCTTCCTGATGTTAAGTACGTTTCCTTTTTGTTTCCATTTTCTCTAGAACCACGTCGTTGCTCAAATATCGCGGTTACATCTCTGATGTCGCCAATTCAACTGTAGAATTATGAAAACTTGTCATTCATCTAGTATTGCGCTGAAATTTATTCATCAGTTCATCCCATAAGTTCTGTCCGAATTTTGAATAAAGAAAACAAGTGAGCAAATGTTACATTTAATTACAGATTCAATCAACAATGTATTTTCCCTGATTATCTATGACTTCCTTCCATCTATTAACAAGCTTGCTAATTCCATTACTGTAAAATTCTTTTGGCTTTGATTCGAAGAACTCACAAATGTCAGTTTTAACCTCTTCCTGTGTTACAAAAGCTGTTTCTTCCAAATGATTCTGTAAGCTACGAAACAAATGGTAGTCTGAAGGAGCAAGATCGGGAGAATAAGGTGGATGAGGAATTTTCTCCCAACCAAGTTCTTCGATCTTTTGTGACGTGATTCTTGCTGTATGGAGTCGCGCATTGTCCTGATGAAACATCACCCCTTTTCGATTCACTCGAGCAGGCCTTTTTTCCTCAAAGCTTGATTCAAAAGCTCTAATTGCTGACAGTATATTTGAGCATTAATTGTTGCATTAGGTGGTAAGAATTCAAAGTGGATTATTCCTTGGCGATCCCACCAGATTGAAAGAAGTACCTTTTGCCCATGAAGTTCCATTCTCGGCTGTGGCTGGGGTCCTTCCCCTTTACCAAGCCACTGTCTACGACGCTTAACATTTCGATAAAAGATCCATTTTTCGACGCTAGTGACAAGTCTATCCAAAAAAGGTGAAATAAGTTGGCGAGAATGGAGTGAAGAGCAGATGTCAACTCAGGATTTGAGGTTGTTTTCAGACAATTCATGCGGAACCCATTTTCCAAGTTTAGGAACTTTTCCAACTTGTTGAAGATGACGATGAACAGTTGTATGGTTTGAACTGAGAACCACTGCCAATTCCTCATCTGATAAAGCAGGATTTTCTTCAAGGGCTGCTTCAAGAAGCTTTTCATCAAACTCAACTGGACGTCCGGTTTGATCTTCATCTTCAAGGGTGAAATCTCCACCTCTGAATTTTGCAAACCATCTTCTGCAAGTTCTTTCATTCACACATTCCTCTCCATAAACTGAGTGAATGTTTCTAGCCGCTTCGGATGCTGAGTTTTCTTTCTTGAACTCATAAAGCATTATGTGCCTCAAAGGATTCTTGGGTACTTCCATGTTAGCAGGGTTTTAATCAAACAAAATTTTATTTTATTGTTCTCTGAAATAAAATTTGATCAGTTTAAATGCATCTAAACATAAAAATAATGTTCAGCTCCATTAGACATTAAAAAATACTCTTTAAATTTCGTTCATTTTAACAAAAAATTAAAATTCGGACAGAACTTATCGGATGACCTGATAGATACCATAGAGTAAAGTTCATTAAAACAATTTTCATGAATGTATCTATACTGATTGATTGGTAGATTTATTTTCTACGGTTTATCAACTCTTTGCAGGTTATTTAAAGCCAGTAAATATTTTTAGATTTTAGAACATCTTTTTTTAGCCAGAAATGATTTAGGGATGCAAATTTTACTAAGGTGGGAGGAGAAGAGGTGGATTCGTAACCTTCTGTAAGGTATTTGCACATGTGAATAGAAAGAACCTAACTGGAATTGGAACTCGGCTCTCCCATTAACAATTCCGAGCCACTGAAGCTTACAGCACCTGATATTCTCAGCTGGTCACCCATCTAGGTACTGACCAGGTTCTATGCTGTTTAACTTTGGCGATCATACGGGAACAGGTGTTTCAACATGATATGGCGGTAATCTATTCTTGGAAAGGATAATGGCTTCCGACTGCCTTCTCTACGGTCTGTAATTTAGAGTTGTCTTTTTTTATCTGATCTCTGGTTGACGTCAAAGTCTTGAATGCTCGGCCTACCCGGCTGGAGGATGAACAAATCGGTTCATGCCTTTTCCAAGGGCATTAATCTGAAAGTGGATACTCGCCCAGAGTTTGAACGTGACTCGTCGATTCCACTTTCCGAGCCGTTATCCACTATGCGTTAAGAATTTTTGAATATTCTATAGATGGCATTATCGCTCGCAGATATTCTTTATACTTCTTTTAGAAAAACTAAATTAATTATCTTAGAAGCGTTTTAACAGAGGTCGGAAAATGGGACACCGAAATCTTATGGCACGTTGGAATAACGAAAGATGCCTCCGAAAAGGTAAGCAAAGTATTAAGAAATAAGAAAAAAATTGTTAGAAACAAAGAAAAAACTACTGAACTGTTACGTTATATAAATCCTCCTATATGGCGGTAAATGTTGGACAGTCTCCTCAGAGATGAAGAAGAGACTGGAAGCATCAGAAACAAAGAAAAAAATACTGAACTGTTACGTCATATCAGTCCTCCTATATTGCAGTGAATGCTGGACAGTCTCATCTCTGGTGAAGAAGAGACTTGAGGCAACAGGAACATAGAATTACATTTCTTTCTTTCTTTCTTTCTTTCTTTATTCTTGCTTATATAATCTTTCTATCTTTCTTTCTAACTTGCTTGCTTCTTGTTTATATAATATTTCTTTCTTTCTTTTTTTCTTTCTTATATAATATTTCTTTGTTTTTTCTTTCTTTCTTTCTTTCTTGCTTATATAATATTTCTTTGTTTTTTCTTTCTTTCTTTCTTTCTTGCTTATATAATATTTCTTTGTTTTTTCTTTCTTTCTTTCTTTCTTTCTTTCTTTCTTTCTTTCTTTCTTGCTTATATAATATTTCTTTCTAACTAAAAATAACAAGATGAGTCATACATCGTCATGGTCAGCGGAACGATAACAATCTACCCCCTGTATATTCAATAAAGTGTTCACCTGAAGAAGGCCTGAGAGAAAAATGTGATAATAAGAACAAACATAAAATAGTACAAATCAAATAAAATAAACGTAAATAAAGTAAATAAACGAAAATAAATTTAATTGTGAAACCTATATTTTCCCGTCATTTAAAATGCGTTCGTAACGCAGTTAAAAAATACTGCATTTAAATTGAAGTACTGAGAAATCGTAATCAGGTTTTCCCAGTAATATTCACTTGAATATTTTTGAGTATTTTTCAATCTCTGATTAACCAATGAAACATTTTGCAGAATTCATGGCAATCTTCCTTATCTTCACTCTCGCCACTCTCTTTTCAAGTAGTCTGAAGCTTGTCAAGGACAAGTGCACTAACAAGTACTAACAAAAACATCGCGGAAGCCTATATCAGTTTTCGAAGAACTTGGTAAGGATTGGACAAGCGGGCACAAAGTCGTTTGTCAACGTGCTTTGATCAAATGTGCATTTCCTGCGCAGTTTAGTCTCTGAAACCGGATCTGTTGCAACCTAAATATCTGAATTTCGCAGAATATTTGCGCAGTTACGTGCAGCGAGGGTGCAGCAGATGTCATGAAATAAAACACGAGGTCGTAGAGAGTGGGGGCGAGCTATGCACACAACAGATAATGTTTATAAACATACAAATTCATATATTAATACTTATATGCACCTCTGGATGAATATATAGTTATATACGCATAAACAGAATTATAAAACGAGCTGGAAATATTGATTAAATACGACAAAGTCATTGCTGTATATAACGCGAGTATACTACGAGTTTTTAATAATCAGTTTTTTATGCAAAAAATAGGGGCCGTACTATAAACACGTATTTTTTATAAAGAGGTTTGAGTCAGTTATGTGCCATGCGTGATACACGCTTATGCGATCATTTATCTTTCGATACATGACTGACGAGGCAGATTTTTTTTTTCACGCAGTAGGTTGCCATTTCTTTCTGCGGTAGATCAGTTACCATCCAGGGCTATAGAACCAGGTCTGTCCTGCTATTTACCCATAGCTGGGAGGGGGAAGAAGAAGAAGATTCATACCTTTCCCAAGAGTATTAGCACATCAGTCAGTCAGTTATGTGCCATGTGTGATAAACGTTTAGGCGATCATGTATCTTTCGATACATAACTGACGAGATTTTTTCTCGTTACCATTTCTTTCTACCGTAGACTGGTTGCCATTCAAGGCTATAGACTCCAGTCTGTCCTGCTATTTACCTATAGCTGGATGGGAAGAAGAGGATTAATACCTTTCTCAAGGGTATTAGCACGTAAGTGAATGTAATGGATTCGACTGGAATTCGAACTCGGCTCTCCGTTTCCTCAATCCGAATAAGAGGTTAAAAATCATATATTTAAAGCACAAAAAAAAACATATCGAGTAGTTTTTTTTATAGAATGATTTGAATTATTAGAATGATATGAGATTAACTTGAAACACGTACCTCAACTCGTAGAACATCCTGCATTATGTTCTAGTAAGCCTGACAAAAAAGTTGTCATTAGAAAGGCAATACCTCAGCGATGTAAACACTTGCGAAACGAAGATGAATGCAAATTTGATATAGGAAAAAAGCTATTAATTCTTCTTTTATATAAAATATTTATTGATTTTATGTACCATACATAGTGGATGAAGTTTGGGCAGCTCGGTGTGGTGTAATGGTTAACAAGCTTGTCTCGCTAGAACAATTACGACTGTGTAGTGAGTTCAAGCTCCATTGAGTGCCCCATGCATTCGGTCTTGTGCCACATCTAAACAATGCTTAGACAATCACCATCAGGCATCTTGACATAGTATAATGGTTAGCAAGCTTGTCTCGCTAGAACAATTACGACTAATTAGTGAGTTAGATCCTCACTTGGTGCCCCATATTTTCGGCCTTTTGCCACATCTAAGCAACGCAGAAATGAGGACTTGGAAAGGATGCAAACAAGGAGTAAACTTAACATAAGGAAGAGGCAGATGAAATTTCTGGGACACGTAATGAGAAAGGAGGGCCTAGAGAATCTGATACTCACAGGTCGAATAGAGCGAAAAATAGACAACGGAAAGCAACGCATGGCATACCTGGTAGGCTTAAGCAAGTGGTTTGGGGGAGAAGCACGAAACATTTTGAGAGCTACAAGGGATAGGGGGGGGAGTGGAGAGCCATGACCGCTTATGCCCTGAAAGGGCATTGCACATGAAAAGAAAGATGAAGTTTTGGTAGAGACAAAATTGAAGAAACTGAGGCTATGTAGAAGGCAAGCCTAGAGTAAAAGAGCTACCGTAGTCAGCCATGATCGAAAACAATTGAATGGTATCTAAATCACCATATCAGATATTTCTCGCCATTTTGGGAGAGCTTTGTACAAAAAAACAATGAAGACCATTTATTTGCTATAAAATATGTCTAGGATGATACCTTGTGCTGCAATATATGACTACAGAGGCTTACCAGTATTACTCAGAAACTGGGGTTGCATTATACACAAGAAAAAAAAAACAGCTTTTTCACTCAAAAATCAGGGTTCGTACTATACGTATAGTACGCACATTTACAAAAATTTATTTTCTTAATATTTAGGAAATGGTGAGTGAAATTTCCATTCGTCAAATTCTGAAAATCACTGTCAAGTAACTAGATCTTGGTGTTAGTAATCATATTTCCGTGAATAACAAGCACATTAGTGTCACGTGAATAATGATTGTGGTAGAAACGTATGCAAATATCACAGTAAAGTTCTTGTTTATTGCGTGCAATGTGAAAAAAAAAAAAAAAAAAAAAAAAAAAGCAGTTGAAGAGGAGTCAGATCAACCATAAATATTTTTATATTAGGTTGGTGCAAAAATAATGACGTAAGAATGTCGTTTTTTGACGTAGAAAAATACGTCAAAAAGACATTATTACGTCATTATTTTTGCACCAACCTAATAGCTCACACTGAAAATATTACGTTGGCCAAAAAGTCCTGACTCACTTACGAAGCGGAAAAAAAACAACAACAAAATTTTATGGAGCAACACGAACATTTATTCTTCAAAATAAAGTCCATCATTCTCGATGATTTTCCGCCAGCGATCAGTCAGCATCCGAATCTGTCCCAGATACCCGTCCACTGGTTTTGAATAAGAAAGCAACTCTAAACGACTTTCCTTCAATTCATGTAGAATCATTTGTATCATGGAGGATGTATACCATTCAACGTAATAGGCCATAGTCACTCGAAGCAACATCGGGACTGAATGGTGGACGTGGAAGAGTCTCAACATCATCCATCTGTTTGAACTTTTTCTTAGTCAACCTGACAGCGTGTGGCCTCGAATTGTTTTGCTGAAACAAAGCCCGACCTCGATGGCCAAAGCAGAATACTCCTTAGTTTGTCGTACTGCTGGAAATACAGTTTAGCGTTGATGGCGCGACCATGTGGAACTAACTCGAAATGCCGTACTCCTTGAAAATTACACCAGACAGAGATCAAGATTTGTTGCTTTCTTTCCGATTCCTAAGTGAGTCAGGACTTTCAAGCCAACCTAGTAAAAATGAAACCTATTTTTGCATATTTGGATTTTTGATATAGACAATATATATTTTTTTAATTTGAAGTTAACCTGCAGGAGAGTGAGTCATTGCGTCTTTTGAGACGAACATTTTCCGCTAACATGAACTGGAAATATTATATTGAATCAACTGCTAGGTCGATTGATAGGAAAGTTGGTCCACTATGTCATGCCAGACAATTTTCCTCGCCATAATCTATTTTACATGCTTATAAGATTACCATTAGATCTTGCTTGAGAATATTGCTGTCATATCTGGTCTAGTGCTCCTGCTATATATTTAGAGCTTCTTGATAAAATCCAAACAGGAATTTGCAATGTTATTGGTCTTCATCTGGCATCTCGACTTCAGTCCATTTCACATAGCTTAATTGTGTCTCTTATAG